CCGCCCGGAACTGCTTCTGTTTACAACAGTGAGTGCAAGCTAGATTCAAGTGATTATTACGTTTTGAATATGGATATTTTTCTTACAAAAACGCATCGATTCGCTACAGGAGGCCTTTGTTCACCCCCCGGAGCTGTGTGAGACACTTTTTTTTATGGATGGGCTCTTTTTATTTCACTTCTTTTGGACTGATGCATGCAACACCCGCTGAGTGGCATTAAACAGCTTGAAAGATCAAAGACAATTTTTAATATAACTCCGACTGGATTCGTCTGAAAGAAGAAAGTCATATACACCTAGGATGACTTGAGGGTGAGTAATTTATGGGCTAATTTTCATTTTTGGGTGAACTAACCCTTTAAGCTCACCTGTGAGCGATGGCCGGTTTAGGACCCTCTCCTTTAGAGCGCGGCACGTCCTCATGAAGATACGCCAGACCGCAGGCCATCGTCTCCGCGATGTGACACAGATCGCTCCAGCTCAGCACGCTCCCCTTCAGATAATCCGTCAGCGAGCCCTGATATTCAACACATCACAAACACTTACTCTAACACTGAAAATACTTCGTATAATGGAACGCTTTGAAGAATTAACGAGAAAAATTGGCGCAAAATTACCCCTCATGATATCTCAATCGTTTTATCTTTAACCATTATAAATTTTGTTAATATTTTAATTAGATTTTATTTTTATATTTCCTGTTTTCATTTTAATTTTAGTGAAAGTTTCCTTAAATTTGTTGTTTTTGTCATGTTTATTAGTTTTCGTATTTTAAAAAAATGTCTATATAGTTTTTATTAATTTCAGTTTTAGTTATTTTTATTAATATGTCTATATAGTTATAGTTAAAAATAACAAATATATTAAAATTATATATAAAAGAATACATTACTTAAAAAACGACTAAAACTAAAGACATATAAATAAAATAAATGCACTAAAAATAAATAATTTGCTAAAAAAAATATTTTAATTAGATTTTTATTTTTATATTTCCCGTTTTCATTTTAATTTTAGTGAAAGTTTCATTAATTTTGTTGTTTTGTCATGTTTATTAGTTTTTGTATTTTAAAAAATGTCTAGATAGTTGTTATTCATTTAATTTCAGTTTTAGTTATTTTTATTAATATGTCTATATAGTTTTTATTAATTTTTGATTAGTTTTAGTTAATTTAGTACAAATATAACAAATCATAAAACCTTTTGTTTTAAACCTACTTTTTTATATCTAATATATCACTTATCTAATACATTATATTTATGTCTAATATATACATTTTACTTTTATATGTCCTATTTTAATTTTAAAGAAACTTTTAGTAATTTTGTCGTGTGTGTTTGTCATTTTTATTAGTTTTTTTTAAATGGCTATTTAGTTATTTTTGTTAATTTTATTTCAGTTTTTAGTTATTTTATTATTATTTTTAAAATTTTATTAGTTTTTTAAATTCTATATAGTTTTAATTTTTATTTCAGTTTTAGTTTGTTATTTTAGTACAAATATGACAAACTCATTTACAGTTTTTATTTTTATATACATTTTTTAATATTTATATTACATTATATTATATTTATATATTTTTTTATAGTTATATATATATATATACACACACACATACATACATATTTTTCTTTTTTATTCTGACTATTATTTCACACGTCAGGCTTTACAGAGTGAAATTTTCATCAGAGTTAAAAGTTTCTATAGGTTCAGTTTTGTATATGTTTGCCTAAGTCTGACGACCTTTGACCTCACCCGCTCATGAAACTCTGTGATGAGCCAGAACTCCGTCTCCAGGTTGCTTCCGTGTTTCTCGGCGGCGATGAAGCGCAGCAGGTTCTCGTGCTTCATGCCCGGCGTGGAGAACATGTCGCGCTCGTTCTGCCACGACTGCTTGTCCTGTCGATACACCACACACACAGCTTTACAGACCACACACACACACACCGACTGAACCCTGAGCTGGCTTGTGTCTGTATCGTCTACCTGAACGGGGAAGATCTTCACGGCTACATAATCATTCATCATCTGAGCTTTCCAGACGCAGCCGTAGCGTCCTCGAGCTTTAACCTCCAGCAGCTGAAGAGGCTTCAGACCCAGCAGCGGCGAGGGAGGAGACGCACCCGGATCCTGGAAACACAGCAGAAAAACCCCATCCGTGATGCCCTTTAACCCTTGTACGGTGCTCGGGTCTGTGGGACCCGTTTCAGCTTTTATCAAAAGAAAAATGACACAATTAATTATCTTTTCAAACTTAGACTCATTGGCCTTGTGAAGAACATATGAATAGTTTATTTGCAAAAACAGATGAAATTGTGATAAATGATAATGCACAATGAAAAAAACATGGTTTTTGCAAATGAACTCTTCATATGTGACCCTGGAGCACAAAAGCAGTGTTA